AACCGAATACAGGGGGTTGAATTTAAAAAAAAAATACGAGGAAGTTTCTATTTTATTTTGGTTAAACAGAACTAAAACACTATTCAGTACTCATGCAAAATACTTGATGTTTGTAAATTTCATATTTAACTATTAAGTGTTAAAATACACTTTTTGAGTTTAATTCGTTACAAAAGATATTTCATGTTATTTTGTTAACCAAGATCGCAAACTAATATTAAGTTAATTCTAAAATAATTTAAATTCAAAATAAGCTATAAACCTAAGTGAAGACAACTATTGCACCGTTACGCAAATATTGGACACTCTACATAATCATAAAAAGATACTAGGGATGCAGAAAAAAATTATAAATCTGGAAATACCAACAAAATAAAACTAAAATCAAAATAAAACAAATGAAAACATAGACCTAAACGAAATACTAAAAATGTTGGTTAAATATTCAATTTGACTGGGCATTAATGTTGTAATATTACAAATAATAGTAAAGTGATAATATTAAGGCTAGACAACGGTTTTCGTTTTGTAAGCTTTTCCTCCTGGCGAAAGAATACTAAAAAATGCCATCATTATGCTCTATATTAGACATATGTTTTATTGGTGGTCATAAATTACATAGAGGTGAAAATATTTCCTAGATCAAAGAGGTTGAAAGTTTGTTGGAGGAAGAGGTTAAAACTTTCGTAAACTACGTCATAGAACACTTGGAGTGAAGTGGCAATTAAACACAAAATAACTCAAATTTGACATGTATTGACGGGCAATATATCATTTGTTATTGTATACTATTAACTATACCTGGGTTTAGGCATGGAACATGTCTAATGAATATAATATTATAGTCCTTTGAAGCTTTTGTAAACAAAACTAATTGTATAACTAGAAAACACATTTTTCATTGTATAACAAATCTTATAACGTCGTTTCATTTGATAAGTTTTTGAACCTAAATAAAGTTAACTTTAATTTTCATTCTATTGCAATGAAGATCAAAAATTATTTATTTCTCAAAATTATATTAAAATGTGAATATGTCAATAGTAATCATGTATGTTTATTATCTCTGGGCAATCTTCGGCTATTTATTCCACTTTTTACATTAAAAAAAATTCCTTTTTTTATTAAATAGTGAAGATTGGCATTTATATTTTTTTAGAGTAGTAGGTAAATTTTTTGTGTCAAATTTAGGGGAACTTGCTAGCCGCATTTTGTCTCATACATGTTTTGAGCGAATAATATTAAGATTATTTGCATAGAGTAACTATTACTTTTTGATTAGCAACTTAAGTAACAAACTATGCACGGGATATGTCAGAAATTTTGGTGATAGTAACATAAATAAAGAAAGATTTATTTCATAAATTTACAAATAAGAAAGGAAAGTTAAAAATGTTAAAATATGAGCAAAATAATGGCAAAAATCGTCACCCATACAGTTACAATAAGATAATATATTTTAATCCAATATAATTACTTTGAACTAAAATGCAGTACTTAAAAATTACCTATGACCATAGATTAAACATGTTTAATCATGCTATGACAGAAATAGTTTATATTAAACCCGTTTCTAAAAGGTTTAAGAGGGGAGTTCAAATAAAAAGTGAAAATCTTTATTTACAAACCAATTTTACTCATACTACACCTTAAGGTGAAGTTAAATAAAACATACAGAAAAAAACTGGAAAAATTTTTTTTCCGCTACCCTAGGTGGGGGGGGGGGGGGGATTTTTGCGTATTGCAAGGGTTTGCGAGAACATAAATTTCTCAGGTTTTAAAAGTGATAGAGAGTTGTTTTTTTTAAAATCTGTTCCTGAGAGTAATACCTACAATCTCTAGCATGGGTTTAAGGAAATTATATAAAATAAAATTACAGTAAATTTTTAAATTTTGAAATATTTTTTTCCACAAAATAACTGGTAAAAACTATTTTTTTAAATACTTTAATGACATTATTTTTACAAATCCATGCTAGAGATTGTAGATCTTGTCAAACTGAACAAAATAAAAAAGAATTCATCCTTCTATGTAGTATAGAACTTGAGATATTTATGTTCCCATGCGAAAAAAGTAAACTTTTGAAAAACGACCGAATACCAAAACACGTTGCTTTTAGTGATTGACAAAGTGCTACTTCAAAGTATTTTTTTATGAGAAAAAAAAATCGTATAAGGGTGGTTTTAACTGTTTTATGTTCAGAATGTAATATATAATAAAAACAAATAAAAAAATAAAAAATTGTAAAAATTCATATTTTGGCCATTTTTGGCGTGAACTCCCCCCTTAAGACATAATATATAAAGTAAGGGTTAACTGATACTTGTCTATTAATAGCTGTATAATTAATATACTATAGACCACAGTCTGTTTCTAAATAGTCAGTTTGTAAACCTAATGGTTTCCGAAAACGCACACAGTTGTATGTAGTGACAGTAGTTACAGTTGTATATAGTTACATTAGTTACAGTTGTATTTAGTTACTGTATTTACAGTTCCGATTCCTCCTACAGATTAATTTGTTTAATTATTCCCGTCTAAATCTGGCTTTAGAACCCATAGCGAGTTCCAAGCTACACTTTTAAAATATTTTAATTGCTGCGATTTTATTTTTATATTTATATACAAATGACAAGGGTACGTTGTAGCCTTTACCTGTTGTGCATACAAATGAGACATCGATTAGCTTAGTGATACAGTATTTCAGTCCCTTTAAACATAAGAAAAAGAAAAAAATTCCTTTCTATACTTCTATTTATTCCACGGTCAAAACTAAGGGGCGAAAAACTTTTATTGTTTTCTACAGTTTATAAACAGGTAATAAAAACAATTTATTTCAGATAGGCTAGTTTTACTGTCAATAAATTATTAATTATCTTTTTAAAGAACCAATAGTTGGACATATATTGCTCGATTAAAAACATATTGGCATATTAAAATAATGTCAACAAATATAATTTATTCCTTACTTTTTATTATCGGTTTTGTTGATTATTGAAGTTATGTTTTTTTTTTTTTGAAGCTATGTTGTCGTTGTTGAAGTTACGTTGTTGTTGTTGGTGAAGTGTTGTTTTTGTTGTTGAAGTTAGCGTTGAAAATGTTTTTGCCTTATAGGCTCTTAATAGGCTTAAAAACTAATGTTTTTTTATTATATTTAAAACTTAACAAGCAATATAGGCCTAACCAAAATGAATGTTTATTTACTCAGCTTATATCTATCAAAATTGTAATTTTTAAGCCAATATTTTGACATAAATTACTTTGGTTAGTTTAAAATTACTTTTAAAAGAAATTTTAGAGCTATCCATAACACAATTAATTGATGGTTAAGTTTTACGATCAAATTATAAACGGGTGTTTGTTAAGTTATATTAATCAATGCGATGAATCTAAAAACTACGGAATCTGCCAAGGGAGTGTCATTGTTAAATTAAAATGTTTTAACTGATTTTTTATTAAACTAATATTCAACAAACTGTATAATTTAGTGTGTACTTTACTCACGAGCCCAACGAAATCGTAAAACTTTCAACTCTTTACATAAATTAAAAATATTCGTTTGGAATTAATGATGAAAATTGGCTGCAATAGAAAGTCTTAATACGATTTAATAACTAAACAACTCTCAGTTTAATAAACTAAACTCATTCGCTATGACTAATTATATAATATACTGCGTAATTAGGCCTGAAAGGATTCTAAACTTAATACACTTTAATGAATAAACCTTTTATACATAGAAAGTTATAATTGTATAGATTTTATGTAAAGTCGTCTCGGCCGCGCTCAGAATAGAGTTCATGGAACGCAACTCTAAACTCTAAACATCTTCTTTGGGAACCCTTCCTTATAGATAGCGTGTACATTGTAAAATAGTAGGCAGTTAATGGACTAGTTTTATTGTTAACTACTTACTATAGTAACATTGTTTGATGAGTAAATTTTTTTTAATATCCTCGTATAATTCTAGTCTGTTGTTTTGCAAATTGTAGGTAGTAATTCTAATTAAAATCTTGTATTTAGGTTTTAATTGTATTACACAGATTAGTTGAGTAAGAATTTCTCGTATTTTACTTAATTAATTTATTTTCTTATTAGATAAATTTTATGCTTTCAATGGGTACAAAAACAGGATCAAATACAATGTGTAGCTTGTCCTTTATTTCAATGTATAGGTGATATTGTTTGAAAAACATAGTGTACCTTCTCCTCCTATACACAAATAATTTACAAAACATTACTTATTGGTTTTGTCAGTATTTAAGTCAATAATTTCATAACTCACATGTAATTTGATACGATATTTTTGTGTTGGCAGTTTTCTAATTCAGTCTAACTGCTTGAATACTTTATCCTTTTTAGACTGCATAGGAACATATTGAAACTACACACGTGGTTTTGTTTAGGTGGGAGTATTAAAAACTTATAATATTAATGATTTCCAAATTCATAGCTGAACATATAGAGTATAGGCAACTTTGCTAAGATAATTAGGCTTAGTAACTGATAACATTTAGATTTAGACATTATATTAGCATTTTATTATTTTAAAAGGGATAAATAAAATTGATAAATACTTATTTATTAATAATAATTATTGCAACGAGACATTGCACTGAACGATTTCCATACTACGTTTGCAGTAGTAGCGCTACCTTATATCTTGTTTTGATTCAGATAGGTTAGATAGGGTGTTTACAATCAAGAGATAAACTAAAACAACGGTGATATGAGCATTGTTTTGTTCTACACGTGAACTGTTTCAACGTCTGATCGATTGATCGATTTAGCGAATCGTGGTGTTTTCTTAACCAGCCTATAGAGTGTGTTCGTATAGTGTGTTGGGTTAACCCGAGGAGGTCGTACGCAGCGGAGGGTAGCGATGACGACTATTGACAAGTCACTAGGTACTATCGACTGTTGACTAGTGACTAGTGACTAGTGACATTGACTATTGTCTAGACTCTAGTGAACCTCGACAGTTCAGGTCTGGTACTCACCACAGTCTCTGCACAGCACGTCTTTCACAGCTTGCAGATTCTTCTTGCTGCGGAACACGGGTTCGCCGATCACCGTGAAGTTGTGAGGTCCCACACCGCTGACGAACACTAAGTACTTTCCACCGCGTTTGATATTCGCCCGCACAGGCCCGTCCGCGCCCGCCGTGTAGTTATAGTTCTGTACACACGCGGAGACTCTCGGACTCGCAGTCTTCTCGCGGAAATGCAGTCTGACTTGGCTCCTTAGCCTCAGCGCCCCCGGAGTGTGGTCCTTATGGACGTGTTGTACCTGGAAGGTGACGGCGTAGGTGCCGCCGGCGTTGACGCCGCTCCTCGACCGGGCCTTCCCCTCGAACACCGTCGTGGCGAGGAACGCCCGCGCCGCCACGTCGTTGGTCAAGTCGCCCACGTGGGAGCAAGGTTGTTGAAAGTCCGAGGATTTCAGGGACTCCGAGAACCCTCGGGAGAACCCTCTGGACGTCCTGGATATCCTCCTGGAACGTTTCAAGAGCGCGGACGATCCCCGCGTCTCGTAGTCCACGGGGGAGGTAACGCAAGTTGTCCACATCGCGCACCAGACTACTGTGGCGAACAGCACCGTCCACGCAGCCGAGGGGGTCATACTCTAGCACCACTCACAGCTCGTGCAGATACCTAGATACCCACACACCGAACCCGTTACACCACATCCTCACTACACACTCACTACCCTCTCACGTCTACCCTCACGCCGCACAAGTATCTCTTAATCCGGGTGATGAAAGGGGGGAGACGAGTCGCTGGAAGGGTCCAAGTAGGAACCGAACGCTCCTGAGTGACGTGTCCCGCAGGAATCGCCGTCGAATGTGTGAGACATCGCAAACAATAAGAAATAAATTTAGAACATTTATGGTCGGACGGGGCACTGGACGGGTCGCACTCACTGACGGTATCACAGCACTGCACTATCACTAGCACGTTGTCGTGTCGACGGGGCCGGCGCGCTACCTCAACGTGAACGTATCAACCACACTCCACACTGTGTCTCAGAGACTGGTCCGCTTGCAGCGCGCCTCTAGCGGGGCGGTCATGTACTGGGAGGGGGTAGTGGCTTGGCTAGACACAACTTACTACACAACTGACAACTGTCGATCGATATAGTAGTCACGTCATACTACTGTCAATATACATTAAAACTATATACAGCTAAAAATCTTCACTATTTCAAAAAATATTTAACATTAATTACTTTATTAGTTTATACAATCTTTTTATTGCAATAAAACTAACAAGTTAATTAGTTTCAACTGTAAAATGCACCTCAAAATTGTTTCTAAGACTATTAAAACATTAATTAATTGTATCGGCTTAGCTAGAGAAGGCTTTAATAATGGCATCATACTACTCGCAATGTATATTAACAGTAACACTATATAAACTAAAAAAGTTTATTAGACTATTTTTAAAGATATATTTTACATTAATGACTAAATTTTTTCTCAGAACTGTTCTAATCTTATAATAACAATGAAAGTTAATAAATTTCGTTTTTTATTGAAAAATATACTTTGACACTGTTGAATATACGGTTTAAATGTTTGTGAATTAATTGTTTTGGCTTAGCACATAACACAATTTTACAGCTTACAACTGAAGAGATACAGCATTTTTGTGGTAGTGACACATGATGCCATATTAATCACAATACATGTTAAAAATAATTAAGAAAAGTAAAAATAAAAATAAAACTCCGTTAAAATATACATTGTGAATAGCTAAATTAGCTTGTTCAACATTTCAAATTCAAATATTCGTATAACATTACAATTAATTTATATCAATACTGTAGCATTGTTCCCATAATGTGCACGCAGACAATTTACCACTGAAATTAATAGCTCTAACATATCTCCAGAAGATAAATTAAGAAACTATCTTTAAATGACATTACTAAGACTAGATTTACTAAAACTAATGTTTGTTGAATTGTGTATTTATATGACTTGAATATAAATATATGAAGTGTACTGGGCATAAGAATTCACTATTTTCAGTAATTAACTATTGTTCATGTTATTCTTATGTTAACCTTTTTCTTATGTGGTCTTTTTTCACAGGATGTATTGATACTTAATCATAAATTAAGAGAAAATGTACTTAACTTCCGTCAGTGCATAAATAATTATGATAACCATGAAAATACCAATTTATCGTCAAACGTAGATCCTATATTATAGTAATTTACATGTACAATGACTTAAATAATAAAGAGATACTACCTAGACAAAATATCACAAAAATATGTTTCTTTAATTTTTTAATAACATTGATTTTAATTAATAACATAAAAATGTTCCTTACTCCCAATTTAGCGCTTTCGTGAAACTGCTATATTATTTATATTAATATTAGGCAAGCTAGGCATTAAAAAAAAATATAATTAGTTTTACATTTTATTGTAGTAATTTATGCAGCAAGTTTTTTTTCTGAATTGTTAGTAATATTGTATTAAAATTATTTTTGCCTATTGTCAACATGAGTTTTTTTTTCTAAGGAGAAAACTGTATCATATAGCGTGTAATACGAATAAAAAACACGATTTTTAACAAGCATTATCAGCTAATAATAGTTAAAATATGTTAAATTTATGAAGACACAAAAAAATATTAAACACCAAACTATTATGAAGCGTAAGAAACCAACAAATTCTCCACACTCATTTTTTACATTTAGAATATTATTTTCCCCAAATCACACATAAATAGTTATAAAACACAATTATTTGATTTTATAAAAAAAGTTAACTTTTGTACATTTTAAAAATGATTGTTCATGAGAACTTAATAACACTCACAAAATTTGTATACAAACAAACTAAACACAAATACTCAATAAGGTAGTGTAAAAAGAAACATTATATGACTATGTAACATTGTACATTGTAAAAAATTGTTTTCGGTTTTGCAAAATAGCGTTAAAATCAAGTGGGTTTTACTTTACACCCTCTCCAAATTTAGAAATGATTAAAGAAATGTGAGATTCTATTTTCCGGTTTTCCCTGTTGCTCTTGAGATCACAAGGAGTATTTTTGGTTTCCCGGAAAAGTTAAATGCAGATAGAAACAAGTCTGGAATCCCGTGAATGTTTTGATTTCGCTGCTAAAAGTAACACTTGTATAACCTGTGAATCGACGTTTCCATATATAAGCTGTACGTAACATGTATGTGGGAAGTGGAAGAGGGAAATTAGTAAGTATTCAGATCTAAATTTATTTGCTTTACAATCATTGGTAAACCGTATCCTTAAAATAGAATTGCCTACTCATTATGGTACCAACTTGGATTTCTTAGTACGGTACGCATTAATCTATGGAATGGCTACATAACCTAGCATAGTACTTTGCAAAATTATGAGCTGTTATTGCAAAAATAACAATGTTAGATTTTGTTCGTATCAAAAATAAACACGACACAGTTTGCACGGTTTGGTTTCAAGGTTCTGATCTAAGTAATCATGGTATACACAGGTTAAAATTATCTTTATGCGGGGTATGTATTAGTACAATTGCATCCAGTACGATTTTAATAATTTCGAATCAATTAAATATCGCATGTATGATGTTTATAAGTATCTAGGCTTATGAGGGTATTTTCTAGTACTTGTATAATATTTCCGTATCAATTGATATTCGTATAAAAGATGTTTAAAAGTATCCACGATCTTTATAAATGAGTATATTTGCACCTATAGTACGTTTGTAAGTATTTCGAATCAATTGAATTTCGCTTGTATGATTTTTAAGAGGATTCTTATAAAATGGGTTCATTTGCACCTATTAAGTGTGTAATTATTCTGAATCAATTGATTTTCTTATAATTAAAATGGTATATGAATACGTGTTTCCGTCTATGATCCTAAATTTGTAGTAATGAGCTTATGCCATTTTAATTTTCAAGAAGTGATCTTGGACCAAAGAACATCATTATGATTTTCTTATGTATGATGTTAATGCATTTACTTAAACTAACATCATAAATGAGTTTTGTATTCGGTATTTTATTAGTGGTTTATCTTATGGTTGTTAACATCACTGTAACAACATTTATGATTACTTAGTAGTTGATAACTTACTTTTATTAATCATGACTAAAGAAGAACTAGAATTGAAAAAAATGTGATTTATAATCGAAAATATTCTATACGCCTGTTATAGTTCAAACAAAACTTCAGTACTTATGTTTGTAAGTTTTAATCATGTTTACTAGTTCATGGATTTGTTTTACAACTCGGTATAGAAAATCTTTTCTTTAACATCGTACATGCAACATACACTTTCAGTTACAACTTGTTATAGCTTACAATTGTATTAAACATGTTAAACAATATATTAACAAAACTTTTTAAAATCTATCTACAAAATAAAATGTCTTAATGTTGATGTTTCTGCGAGAACATTCATAACATGTCTACATTGGTTTGTTGTAGTGGTTTATTTTGGTGACACTTAATGGTTCAATAAATTCATATTCATAGTGGTTTTAAGTCACTATAATCTAGTTGATGGCAGTTGAAAATGGTTATAAAATTTAATGACATTTACTTGGTTGGACTAAAATAAGTAAAACTATATTTTCACCAAAAACTTTAAACTATTAAGGATATATAAAGATCCTAATATACATCAAAGATATTTTCAAGTAGATACATAATTTTATAGGTATTTACATAACTAATTTTATTTAATTGGCACCCGTACCACTGTATTGAAAAATAATGACTGCAAATGTTCTAATAATTTAATAAACAATTATTTGTAAAAAAAAAACAACATTTATAGATATGTTAACAATTACAATCATTAGGGCTCTTCACTTTTATTTAAAATTTTATTTATATAGATATAACAATTATGATATGATTCTACATGATATGGTGAAACAATCAAAATATTTCTTTTCTGGTTTTACGATTTTAAATTATCGTTGTGATTTAATTATGCACTTAAATAATTCAAAGCATAAAGATGCTCTTACACAACAATTAAGTAGCATAATAATGGTAGAAACAGTATTGACAAAATATTAATGTAAAATAGCAAAAAACTAATGTCGTATTTTTCGTAAACAAACTGTAATTTACAAATGATAAACAATTATTTCATCCCGTTCCCCTTCAATCCATACGATTATAAAATACGAAAAAAATAAACACTGTTTTAATGTATACTTTCAAAACATATTATTCATTTAAAACAATAAAAAATCATATTTCATTGCAATTCTCGGGGTTGTTGCCCTATGAATTTTGACAAACAAGAAAATTTGTGGGCCTCTCAAAGATATTTCTCAACTGAGTCTCTTGATTATGTCTCGTCTTGTGATTTATTTGTTTTTCTAGTTTTTACCCCCCTCCCCCCCGAAACAAAGGAGTGAGACGAGTACGATGAAGACCAAAAGTTTCCAGACACAATTTTACTCCATCTACGGCTGATAGTAAGTAGTAAGACTTTGACATTGTTTTTGTTTTTAGTCTTTTGATTTATCGCTACATTTTTCAAGGATGTCCATTTTTTACAAAGTTTGCGCACTCTCTCCACCCCTTGTTCTTGTTTTTTGTTTACCAAAGACGTTGGATAATAATATTTATCGGTCAAATATGGTATAACATAATATGAACTAAATTAAATATGTTTTTTATTACTATCCTAATTTCTTTGCATGGTTAGCAGTTTTAATCAAGGTAATTCTCAATAATAATATATTACTTAAAAATATTCAGTGAATTACTTATCAGTTTCCAGTATTGTATAAAATGTTATAATGAATAAAACATTATTTTTTTCTATGTAGATAAATAGTAAATATGTGTATAGATGTGATAGTAAGTATCCTGTAATGATATACAACTTTCCTATTTATACATTCCCTGAAATAACTGTTTTATAATTTTTAATTGTGTACGATAATTATTTTGAACCAAATCTAAACTAAGAAACGCATTAGTAAAATAAACAATATATTCGTAATTGCTGAAA